CGCACTCGAACCTCTGCCCAATCTTCCAAGTTTGGAATTATTTTGGGGAATTTAAAGGGAATCCCCAAAGTCAAATGACCACAAACGTTTGGGAGAATATTGGAGAATCGCCCCAGATGGTGGTGCCATTTCCTCAAAATTGGGACGTTGGGTGCTCTTCCGAATGTTAGACCACAAACTTAGCCGGTGGACCACAACGGCCTATGATGGAGATGGCTGTCGTATTTCCTTGCGCTGAATAATTATTCATAATACTTATGACTAATAGAACTTACACGCTTATAAGGTGCAGACCGACTCGTTACCTAGATGACTTAGGGAAATGTGGCTTCGATATATCGTGCATACCTACATCAAGCCGTCAAACGTTGGAGGAGACAGATGTATTTGATCCACGTACTCTTCATAATTTTCTTTCCCTTCTTAACCATATATTCTACTTTTCCGGGTTGGGGAGCATTCTTGTGTACTCGCGGGTACGAACTCTAATATAAAAGGCGGTCATCATATACCCAAGGTCATATAGTTGATCGAGTTTAGTGAGGAGTCCAACTTCTGGCAAATCCACGCATCTTCATATATGCATTTTAAGAGTAATTGTTTTTTGTTTTGTTTCCATACACTTTCGTGCACAAGATGTCTACACCATGTTTATTTCCTTTCAGATTACCAGTCCGTTCTGGAGTATCGTGATCGTGATATGGCTCAACCAAAAAATCACTCACTTAACCTATGTCTTAGCATATCACTGGCATCGCTCTGTTAAAGTTTAACAGAACAGGTAGCCGGGTGACTGCCAAGAAAATCAAATTGAAATGCCTAGGATATTAATTAAATCTACGAATAGAAGGGATTTGTCTTAAAACCGAGAATTTTTTGAACGGGTATCTTGATCGCTCATCGTATGAAAGAGCCAGGAGCTGAAGAAAATAGAACTAATACTAGATGGCGGAGATAAGCACTATAGAGTTTTAAATCTTTGGGTGGCCAGATATCGAAAGGGAATGATTACGGAGGCTTTTTGGTGCAGCACCGAGGCTTTTGACTAGACTTTAAAACCTTTACATAAATTCCTGGAGCCTACTTGACAATCCGTGGGAACTAGGTGCACAAATTTGCCCTGTCAGACAGGACATATCCACCCCCTCGGAAAATTAAGTGACCTTGTGTGTCATTAGACTAACTTTTCACTATTATTTGATAAAAGGTTTCGTACTCTTTTACCTACATGGGAGGGAATGTAGGAAAGATTTAAATTGCCAGACAATTGAGAAACAAGTTCTTGATACAAAAGTATTTATGTCCCAGACACATGTGAATTTAGAAAGGAACAAAAAGAAAATTTTTTGGTCTGACGATTGCATAAAACACATTTATTCGTACACAAAACAAAGCACAAATATGTGCAGAAACATTCGGACATTCTATGGTAATGAGAGTGTTACATCACTAATTGAAGATGGGCAAGATAAAGCTTAGTTATCCTCGGACCAGGCCGACATTGAATATCAGAGAAACATCCTTACGTCGAGCACATGTAAATCCTTCCATCCGTATTCTGGAAATGCAAACCATTGAAAAACTCGATTTTTTGGTTTTCAAGTATTCTCGATGAAGGCAGATCTATAGGACCCAATGAAATTCGTCCTAAGTTGTCAAAGGAACTCACAAACTTCAACTCAGATCCTTTAAGTATTTGTTTTAGTCTATTTGTAACCCAAGGTAGACTACTAAGTGATTAGCGGAATGCCGTCTTAAGTCCTATCATCTAATAGGCACGAAAAAATCCTGAGAAATATTATCTGTAAGTTTAATCGACACAGATGTTAAGGTACTAATGAAGACATGAAGGGAGCTATTTAAGCAACTAAACAAATGCCTGGTTCTCTCGAAAAGTCAGTAATCTTTTAGAAAAGGTTATCCATGTTCCTCAAACTTATTAATAGCTTGAGAATGTTTGTGTACCCTTTAGTTGTACGCATCAAGCTGTTATCTAGATTAAATAATATCAATATTGTGGACAACTTATCTATGTGAACAAACAGGTTGTCAGTTAGATACTAACAAGAAGCACTGGTCAGTTCCAAGTGGTCAAGATGGAAAGTTGTTCTAAGGGGGTTACTGAAGGATTCAGTTTGGATACCAGATCTATTCCTGTGCATGTAAACGATCGCCCTGGTTTTATATCATCATTGTTTTTGTCATATACCGAAAAAATCAAGATGTGGAAAGGAATAAAAAATAAAGGGAATAGACTAGGTGTTCAGAATGACAAGAAATGATCTGAATAGCGAATAAAGATGACAATTGCTTTCAAGTGCATTGTGGTATGTGTTGGTCATCAAGGTACAGGTACATACACGGTGAGTGATGCTGAATCCTTCATTATTTAGACATAGTGATCAATGGATCTTTGACAATGATTAAAAGTTACTGTGTACTGCCGTGCAATATCTGCTAAGGTTTTCAGAAACATCTCGCTAATACATAGGTTCTCTAGCCACATAAATGTTGAGACCTTTATAAATTTTCAAGTATTATTCCACCGTCCCAAATTTGAGTATTGCAAGAAGATAGTCACCTAAAACAGGCAAAGAGCTGTCAGAACAAGTTAATAGAACACCATCTAAGTTGATTCCTGGACTCGCAAGACGAGATGCTATTAAATTGTGCATATTTCTCAGTTACATATAGGAGCTAGAGTTGACTTGATTGCAGTTCCTTAAATCACTTGTAATTTGTTTTGCATGCAAAACAACCCAATTTCCATTGTCTTTCAAAACGGAATTTCCAAGGACCAGGGTCATTTGCCTGTCAAATGACTACAAAACTCCTGCTTAATGATGGATGAGCGGAATTCTTTACCATAACAAATGGTTGAGGCCCCACCCATCTACGCGTTCTACAGATAGAGAGAGTTGGATCAAATGAGAGGCCATCATTATCTGGGCTAACACATGCGATTGAACCTCCTATCCTCCCCATAACTGTAACTGAAACTAATCTACCCATTTCTCAACTTTTGTCATCAATCCATTCATCTGGACACTAGTTTTATGAGTTCTACACTGAAATCAGTCAGTATTTTGACCGGTAATGTAGCAGATGATTTTCAGGCTCGGGACCTGAAACTCGTCTTAAGCATTACATTGGGTTGATAAAACAGCTACTAAATCAGCTAATGCATCAGGATATCTCCGGAGTCACCTTGCTGAAGATGTATAAACTAGGCGGCTAAATGAATTTGGAACAAAATCAGGCTGCTTAAAGCTGTATTTAGACCTCCTAATGAACAGGACTTAATATTACAGAGTGGAAATAAACTAAAGGGATCAAGAGATTTTGTCTGTAAGGATTTGATGCTCGCGGACCGCATAAAAAGACAAGAAGTCGGAAGAGAACTGAAATGTAGGTTGAATGCTGGCGAAAAGAACCTAAAATTTGTAAATTTTCGGGTTCTGAGGTTTCGATAGAGAATGATGCTGAAGCCACTGTGGGTGAAACACGAAGCAATTTAGATAGATTTTGGATCAGTTACACAAATGCCCGAAGCTTATTCAATAAGCGGTCGAATCTAGGTGTACAGATTGACTCCACGAAGTCAGATGTGATCGTAGACACAGAAAGGTGGCTGGCGCAGTCTCTAGACAGTATGGAATTTGATTTAGAAAGCTTCATGTTGGCTGGTGTCGCAAAAATCCAGAGGCGTAAAGGAGGGGGAGTAGGTCTATTCGTTAGAACACTATCTCATTTGCCATTATTGACAGTGTATCCCATAAGAGCATGACGTCTGGATCAGTTAGTTACCGCTTGAAATGCAAGGGATAAAAGCTACTGATTTGTTCGGTTGACCGCAGTCCAAGACGTAAGGCAAATCAGGCCTTTAGTCTGGCAAATAAGCTTGATATGAGCAAATCATCGGGACCTGATGAAATGCAGCCTTAGTTACTAAAAAATTATATGCTGATTATGTCAAGATATGGAGAGCGATTAGAGCTTAGAGCTTCAAAATGGCCTGGAGAAATTACCTGAATGGTCTCAAACTTGGCAGTTGACGATAAATACTCTCAAGCGCATCCTGATGCATACTGATCGTCAAGGTACAGATACATATACGATGAATAACACTGAGCTACCTGTGTCCAGACACACAACGGTTTAAGAGTCATCGACAGCCAAGACATAAAAACTACTGCACACTGCTAAGCGATGGTCACCAAAGGTTATCACGTAGGGCGTTTAGCCATGTCACTGTTAAAACCTTTTTGACTTTGTATACAGTCCTTCCCAAACTGAAACTGAAAATTTACTGTTGTGAGAATAATACCACAAATAAATGTTCACTAGGAATAATGCGGTCAAATGACAATAAAGGATTCATCACACTCTACGAAAGAATCGAGCTCAAAAAATTAATTTCTTTACGCTAGCTTGTCACTAGGATATTGATCTTTGGAAAGGTCAAGTTGTGCTCCCAGGGTCGTTGGGGATGTTGTGTCCCAGGAAATTTTACAACTTGTGTTCTGGCTATGTAGCACCTCTTGATTCTGAATGCGTGTTTTTCCCAATGTTCAGAAGTCTGGCACCAAAAATGTCTAAAAGTCAAGGAAGGGTGGAAAAAAGCTAATTTCGTTAGCTCCACATGACCGCTTTTAAAAGCGGCCAATTGGCACGGCGTATTACCCAATTTAGCAAGAACAGGGTGATAAAGCAGACATTACCTAATGAAATTCGGTGTCGATTCAGGTTGTACTGCAACTAAAAGTCGCCTTCTCTCACTCTCGGGAAGTTATGAGACAACCCGCCTAAATGTCCCTACTTTTTTTCTCTTTCCGAATTTATTTCACTGGATTATACTCCTTGGATAACATCTACAAACCCTAATCCTTCCGATTAGTGCTTATACTCTTACTACCTATACCACTACGGGGTTTAAATTGACAACTGCATCTCTGTTCTAATGTGGTGTGGCAACTCGAACTGATGTACGTACGTACGAAGTTCTACGTTGTTACTGACTGACATGTTGCGATATGTATATGGATTCACGCCTTAGTGATCGCCGAATTGTCTGCTTTTCGCATAAATTTAATTTGAATTGCTTGATAATTGTTAGATAAGCTAGTCATGAGTTCTCGAACTTGCACTACGATACTACTGGACTGTAATAAGGTCCATGGTATACAGCATTTTCCCACAATTGAAGAATACTTTGGTTTTTATAAGTGATTTCTCAGTCCTATAGGACAGGTTGTTGTCGACATGTGTCCTGAAAAGTTACATCTATATAAGTACAGACTAGTATCCTTGATTCTTTACCAGGCCTAAGTGGTTATATAAGGGATCTCAAAACATATAAGTGTGTTTACTTTAGAATAAAATAGCGTTGGAAATCAGTCGTTTTTCCCACCATGATGCATTGTGTTCGAACTCGTGTACACTACATCACTGCATTGTCGAATGGGTCTGGCTCCTCCGATTTTGTTGGACCTCATCTTCATGTGAAGATAACACACAAAACTGATGGATTTAAATCTTCCTAAATTTTCTGCAAATAGAGTTACTTCGGAGTTATCCGTTAGGAAGTTGTTACTTGGTATCTTTTTCAAGTTGTCCACGCAATCTCATTAATCTGATTATACTTTGTGTATCGTTTTTGTATTAGTATTATTACTCACTATAGCCTATACCAATTAGATTGGGAATTCGGATCACAATATTACTGAGAGCATATTTAGGTTTCTTAGAACAGTTGGCGTATACATAAAAATAAAATTGAATCAAAATAGTAGTGAGTGGACGCCACAGTAGACTGAAGTAGCAATTGTACTGGCTTAACACAGAAATTAGAATTTCACTTGCACAAAATTTCGTGCAATCGTAGAATCACCCGGAGTTGCATTGTATATGTCCATCCTGAAATGAATAGAAATATATCCAAAGTCTTCAATGATGTGTTTTAAATTTTAATCAATTGGTAAAACGATAGAATAGGACTAACAGTTCGATAGACTAAAAAAAACAAAGGCATTGTAAAGATATACGTATAAGGGATTAAAGTTAATCACATAATTTAGGGAATAGGATTTGATTGTAAATCCAATAGTCCAGTGTCCGATCAGAGTATACGGTTATGTAAATCAACATGTTCGGACTAGTGTAGAATAATTACATTAATTTCGAGTAGCCAACAATTGGTGCTATTTAGCTCTACAGAGTAATTACCTTGTTCTCTATACTCATTCGTTGATTTCTTTCCTGAAGTTTTTGTTAAGCATCACTCCACATTCAACACTAAACTTATCTGACTATTCATTTAAGTGTGCTTTTAGCTTGATGTTTTTAGTGATATTTAATTTATTTCAAATCGGTTTCATTTTTATCTGACTTAAGATGGTCAACCCTATAAGAATGGAAATTGATCTAACTACTCAAGTGGCTGAAGCTGCAAATATTGATCGGAATCTAGTCAGTCGTGTGATTCCAATGTTTGAAAATGGTTATACTGTGCCATTTATTGCACGTTATCGAAAAGAAATAACTGGAGGTGCAGAACCAACAGTGTTGCATAGACTGAAGGAAAAAATGAATGACTGCAAGTAACTGTGACAGTAGTTTTCTTAGTGTAAATGCTTGTAGAATGCTTGTTGATAAAATCGAGAAATCACTCCAGTTTTTTGATAAGAGTGGATTACTAACGAATGAATTATCGCAACAGTTAATGAAATGCAAAACAACTGAAGATATTAAGCTTTTGGGAAGTTTATGAGATTTTGAACTTTAATAGAACTTTGTTAGACAGATCCTTCAAATCTAAGGGTCCACGCACGCTCGCAGGTCGAGCAAAAGCTGTCAATCTGGAACCTATTGCTTTGGACATACTTCATTCAAATAGGTGTGTTGATATGTATGGTCTGGCACCGCCAGAAGCTAAAAGTAAGGTTATTTAGTCATACTTAAAGTATTTGTATTCATTAGAATAGTTTTATAGTCAATATCAATACTTTGGGTTCACAAAGTTTCTTGTCATAGAGCGATAAGCCGCCAATGCTTTCAGGTAGGAATAGCCGAAACAAAATAAAGATGAAGTTGTGGTTAGCCGATGGATTAAATTATGTTAAATCCTCAAGAGTATACAACGTGAGTTTAAAGAAATCCGTTAGATGTTCTCAGACTATCTAAAGACTGTGAATTTCAAAGCTTGATAGTTAAGAAATAAAAATTACAATTACGATGCGTTTCACTACTTTAATTCCAAATTATGGGCATTTCATTTACGGTCCGTTTTCCATTTAAGCTTTAACTAACATATTAGTGTATAAACATTAGTATCAATGTTGGGATGTGATGATTCCAATTGGATCAAGTCGCTAACGAGCATTAAACCTACGATATAGTTGTTTCAGTATTTGACTTGGTAGCTCAATCTTCGGCTTGTATACATTGGTATTGAGAGCCTATGATATCACGGCTACTCACATTATGTGTGCATCAAGCCCGAATGCTTTTATTTATTTCTTTATTTAAACACAAGCATTGGTGCAAGGAGGCACCGAATTTACATGCGCCACACATTCGATTTGTGCGAGGGTTGGGATACTGTCCGAGTGCCAAACCGAAGCAGGTGGTTTTCTTAGAGAGCCCTACCTGAGCCTTTGACATTGAAATTCAATCCAAAAGGAAGTGGAGAAATGTCAGGAGATGCATTCTCATGGTAGCAAATGATCGAGAATAGGTCCATACGATATTTGTTCCTTCAGGATCCAGGAGCCCATTTGCACCGTTGGTTTTGAATCAGGATTTTTCAACTCCTCTAGATGGATCCTTGATATCCACCAACCAGATTGAAGCTACGAACATTCACTTTTCGTCCTCTCAATTTCGTAAACAACATCCTTGTTGTGATAAGGCAGTGAGTGGGACTTCCCTGATAATGGCTGTATACGCGTGCCCATGTATTTATCAAATGTATTATTATTATTATCAGTATGGGGTCGTGGAGATCATTGAGTTTTCGATTGAGATCATGAACCGATTGATGTTAGACCGCCATTGAAAACCTGGAAGCACTGGACGGTCGTTTCGTCCTACTTTTGGACTGCTCAGCAGTGCGTATCAACGGTCCCGCCGGCGGGATTCGAACCCTTCGGTCTCGCATGCGAACGCTTAACCTCCAGACCACTAAGCCGGCTGGCATCCAACGGTGTTAATATCTAACCTCAACCAATCCACGAAATCGCGCGACCATCTCCCATTGTACTGAGGTAGATACCTGTTTCTACCCGATACGGATTATTATTATTATTGTTTTATATTGACTACTACAAAATGCTGTTCCAAAATTTCATTACAAAACTGGCATAGCATATTTCCTCCACGTTCAAAATGGTCTTACGTAACTATTCTTCTCACTCTTGAAATGTATTTTCCTGCATAAGTGAAATGAACATATCAATATTGAATCTTATGTTTTGTTTTTCTATTGTAGAGACTTTTACATCGAAAACGGCCCTCGAAGATGCTGTATCTCATATCATTGCTGATATTTTTGCTAAGGATTTAGATATAATCCGAAAGGCTGAGGAGTTGTAAGTCAATTCTGTGTATTTGTAATACCTTTTAAACTATATTTTTAAGAAAGTGAATACTTTATTTTCGGAATTCCTGAATAAGAACACATTCAGGGTGAACATTGTTCATATCTTTTCATGGATAAAATTTATTAGAATGAAATTTTCATTTAATTCGCATACAGTTTAAAATATTGGATATCAAATTATATTTGCAAAAATCCCCATGACTTAAAGTTTCAGCTTGTAGACCATTCAAAATTTCTCCTCGGAAATAATCAGATGCAAAATTGTGTTCAAGTAGCCTTTCGTTTGTCTATAGCTGTGAAACAACCTATGGAAGTGGAAGACGTGTGTATGGTGTAAGCTTTTGATCGTGGTTATCTTCAAAGCATTATTCACATGTGTTAGGACCCCCGAGTTCAACACCCTGTTAAAGGCGAAAGTACTAGACCAGTTGTAGCTGTCAATCTTCACCGATTGAAGTAGTTTGAACGGACATATACACCAACAGAGGGCCTGACAAATGTATTTTAGTCCAATTTGCCATATCTGATTAGCTCAACTCAATGAAAATAATTCAAGAGATTGAAATAATGTAGCAGTGATAAGAAGAACGACTAAATCGTTTGAGTATGGTTGGCGAAGTCAGGCTAGAATTGTGTGCACGATGGGATATTGGGATTCAATATCAAAAGGAAGATAAAGAGTTCGACTGCGCCATCGTGAATGATTTCTATCCGTATGACTCAAAGTCTTCAGCCACTGGCCACAGTTGTTGTATGATGCCCAGCTAGGTAGTCTGCTTCTAACTATATCGCTTAGCCCAACATTTTGTGACTAGATGAACTGATGCCAGATTTTGGATTAGGTGGCCCTAGCTTCTTTCCAGTCTACTTCTATATCATGGAGCATCTGTCGTCGAAGTAGACGGTGGTTAAGTGAGCGTGAGAATATTGTTGGTGTTAGTCATGTTTATAGATATAGATTACGTGATCTTAACCTGCATAATAAACACTACCAGTGGTTGGATACTCTACGTTTCATGAGTCAAAGTTGACCACTGGTGCATTTACTTGATCTTCCCTAAATTTTAAGTTTCAGTGTTTTTTCATACATATTTAGTGTTCCTTTCCTTACTCAAAAAGTATACTTTGAATGTTCAGTCTTTTTACTATGATTATTACTACTATTATTTTTACTCTTTCACAATTGACCTTGTCAATGTCATCTAGTAATGCCGATATTATATAGGAGCCTGGGCTACCTTACCCATTTGCCAATCTCCTTATTGATAATCACCATGTTCAAATGATGTTATATTTTGTTTTCTGTTTATATATATGTATTGCTCCATTCAAAAGCTAGTGATCATATAAAGCGGTAGGGTATATGCCTAGGCAATCTTACAGTTATTTTGACTGTCACAGAACTGTGACAGCATTATTTTATAAGTGTCATTATCAAAGATTTTCGTCTGACTTGTTCTTGGTACTACTCGACATTTACTTCTACGATTTGTTAGAAACAGTTGGCAAGCTATGTGATAAATCTTTCGGCATCATTATGAATATGGTTGTGGATAGATATTTGAAATCTTGCAAATTACTGGCAATTGGGTTTTGGTCACATCCTTCTCCTTGTATATCTTCCGTTAGACCGAGGCAGATACATTCGAATAAATACTTGCAAGCAAAAGTACAATATCGTACAATTATCTAGCACAATAACTGTGTGACAAACAGGTTATAAAAGCGAACCTAAACAAAAACTTATATTCTTGAACATGTTGCTAAAGATTCTTATTTCTAAAGAATATCTCATTTAGTTCTATCTAATATGACATGTGCAGGTATATTTTGCACGACATAAGAAGAGAAAGAGAAGCTTGTTGAAATATCGTATGCTAATAATTTCGTGCTGCACTAAACCTATGATACTGAATAAGGCCATTGTTACATAGACTCTTTATAACTCAATGAATGCTCGTGAGTTTCTGCTCTACAGTTTACTTATCACTGTCGATCAATGTCGCTACTGGTTAGAGTTTGGTATCTCTGACTTATTTTTACCTGAAGAGTACTAAATAGTCACGCGTAGACGATAAGACGTGAAATGACGATGCGGAAGAAGTAGACTGACTTTTTAGGACTTTCAGAAGCGTTTTAAACAATGAAAAAGATAAGATAAATATCGTACTATAGATTAAAAGGTATTTTAAAGGAGAATGAAATTGTTATACATTTAATTTATTAAAAGATATTGCTTTTGTGATCCTGGTCTGTGTTATTTATTGAATTGGGTACACATACCTAATAATATGTAGGTTGAATAATCGCTTAAAATCTATTAAGAATTCTGAAGGTTTATTGTATACACTTACCATTTAATTGTCTGTTCTCATATTAGATGTTCAAAGTACAGTGCTACACTTGTCACAGCTAGGAAATCAAAACGTGGTAAGAAAGGTGAACAATCATCAGGAGGTAGTCTTCCAAACACTATGTCCATTGATTTTGATGAGAATGAGAATGCTGATTATGCTGAATGTGTTCAGAATTCACGTTCTTTTATGAATGATACTAGTAATAGTTTTAAAAAGGATGATTTGGTTACATTTAAAAATTATTTAAATTTTTCTCGCCCCGTGACATCGATATTAGCACACCAGGTAAGTTTAAGGTTATTTTTTTATTTACTATTACCAGGTAAATATTCATTTATTTGGTTCATAGGTAGACTTTACTCGTGAAGGCTAGCGGCACTACCTGGTTACTGAAATACAAGCGGGCTTCGAACCTGTGCGGTTTAGTGACTGAAACCCGAGCACTTTAACCACTGATCCCAACATTAAATATTGATGGGTAGTAAGGCTAGGAAGCTTCAAACTGATATAAAATTATTAACGAAGGGGTTTTTGGTGTTAACGGGATAAATATTGTACTAAAGCATATGTTGTTCAGGATTGTGTTGGGGGACACTGATTGGCCATTTCCTAACTAATCAGCGCTAGCGAAAACTTGTAGAGGACTCTAGAATCTTATGTAAAAATTGTAAATGTGCTAAAGTTTTTCTTGGTGTGAATCCTACATACATCCAACCTTATTTATTTGTAATATAATTAATCTCCCGTTCAACCGTGTTCTGACTTGCTGAGTGGAGGTAGTATCGGAGAATACTGAGCAATAAAAGTAGGCTGGGCCGAGCCCCCATATGCTCTGGTGCTCTGGTACGGTCGAGAGTGAGGAGAGTCAGCTCTCCTTTTCGAAATGCTCTCAAGTGGCCACGTGGATACAACCACTGTTGGGGAAGTCCTACTCACTGCCTTCTCGTGGCGGGGGTGTTGCTTACGAAATCGAGAGGACAAAAAGCGAATAATAAATGTGATGAACTTTCAAAATTTAGCGGCCGGTCCTTCCGCTAAATTTAAACTCTGCATACATCTAAGGATCGTAGCCACATAAAATCTAATGTCATACTTGTAAAGATCTTAGTGAGTGGTTAGTCGTTGCATACTAAAGGCCTTGAACTCAGTCCTGCAAGATTTAGGTGTTTTATGTGTAAACTGCATTTGAACTCGAAAAAACAACTGTTCACGACTGTAAGATGGTTCATGGACTGACCTTCTATAAACAACCAATTAAAACCAGATAGCACTGAACTGGTATTTTGTCCTAGTGCGGGACTTCTCAGGAGTGTGCATGCACAAGGTCAAACGTGAGACCATCAGGTCTCATATTGAGCGCTTAACCTTCAAACCACTGAGTCGACAACCCATAGTTTACATTTCTAAATCCAGTCAATTCACGATATTGAGGAACCAGCTTTTAATGCTAATTGTGGATAACTGTTTCACACTTCACTGGTCACGATATCCCACTAGAACTCCGGGAATTACAAATGATAAAATTAGTATCATTATTGTTGTAATGCATTAAAAACCCTTTTTTCCCCAATAACTATATACACAGGTGTTAGCTATTAATCGAGCCAACGAAAGGGGTGTGATTACCGTAAAAATCCACTTGTCACCACAAGTACAACATAATTGTGCAACATTTGTATCTCAAAAATATTTTCCTACGACCAACCGTATTCATTGGGATTTTGTAATGTCAGCTTTCAATGATGCATGGAAACGTTTAATTGATCCACATTTGGTGCGTAGTATACGGTAAGATGGTACTCTTATCTCTGTTACTTTAGTCTTTGTAAAAATAGTATAAACTCCTCAGGGAGTCAGACTAGACAATTGAGTTACTACTAAAATCCAAATTGTAAACAACGGTCGATTTGGATAGTTTACATTATGAAAATATTCTCATTCATTAACCATTAAGAACCAAGAAGTACTAGATTTCTCTTTTTCTCCTATTACGGGGCTTTTCATCGGTGTGCGTTCAGGACCCAGTCATAAGGCATTGAACCCAGTATCTTCATGTCTCACAGCGAGTACTGTACGTCTGTTTGTAAAATCATATTGTTATTAATGTCAATATACTGAATGATGTGCACAACCCTCATTTCACAAGGTTCCTAATAAATCTTCAATCCTTGGAGTACAATCAAGGGAAACGCGCTTCCTGTATTATTTAGATAAAGATAATTTACTAAAAACACAATAATCTAATTATTATCTGATAGCTGTGTCAAATGCAACGTGAATGGATAACACATCAAAATAATGTTTGTTCACAGGAAGTATAGGAATTGTTTTAGGTTAACAACTGAGATTGTTAAACGAATATAATTACGATAACAAACAGGTCCAAATGTCTTACATACATTTAGATGTTTAGAATGATTCCTCATCATAACGAGAGGACATCAAAACTTCTATTTCCTAAAATCGTTAGTAACGACATAAGTTACTGAATATTAGTAAGTAGTATCATTTCTTATCGAAAGCAAAATCGAGATAGTACCCCCAACACAGTTTGAAAATAGTCTTGTCTGAATTACAACACGTCAAGCTTCTGGTGGTTGAGGAGTGATTCAATTTGCGATCACAGTTTGTTTAATATCTATAGCTCGGAATAGGTTGGTTAGGATTGACTGTTGAAAACATGAATTTCAATGAGGGAATCTCTTTTCGACGGATTGATTTTGAGTTTGTATATATTTATATAAAATTAATCCCGTGAGAACATATGAAAAGCGAATAAACATGATGACACAATAGGAAGATCATAATGATAGATAGCGTAATATGAATAATAAAAATGAAAGATTGTGTGCGTGCAAATAAAAAGCTTTGTGAAGTTAATAAGAAGTTAGCAATGGGTTACAATGTGAATGGATTAAGATAATTAAAATGTTTTGTTACAATAATCACAGATAGTAAAGGGGGGGTAAATTGATTGGACCCAACGTAAACCCCATTGCGATCATCCTTGTGATATCTATATTTCTTGGTTTCTAAGCATATTTCTTTGATGATTTTGGTCCAGACTTTACAACGTCGTCTATTTTTTCAATTAAAATAGCACTAAATTAACAACTTCAGCTCAAGATGCATCTCTTGAAGTATTTTCAGAAAATCTCCGACGTCTCCTAATGACGGCACCGTTACGTATTCCAGTTTCATCAAGTGATTCCACAGTGAAGAATGACAATGATATTGGCATGATATCTTCAGCGTCTGGTGCACCAGGTGATCGTCTTCCTGTGATTGGATTAGATCCAGGCTGGAGAAATGGTTGTAAATGGGCTGCATGTGATCCTCATGGAAATGTTCTAAGCACAGGTATTTTATGGCCACCGCATACATTGTCTGCTATTCCACCGAAGAAATTGAGCATGCAAAATGAACCAATGAGTAATAATGGTTTGGGTGCATTGACTGCAGCTATGCAACGTCATCAGTAAGAATCATTTTTTCATGTTGGTGTAGCCTATTGAACTTTTTTCATAATTGTCGATTCAAAGTCTGTCTTAAGTTTCAACTATCTAGACTTACAGTGTATTCTCATACTTAGTCTGTCTGAATGATATCTCGGTGGTTGTGTTCGACTCAGCCACTAAGTCGTAGTTTCGAACGATGCTTCACACGCTCCGGATTAGGCAACAGAGTAGTATCGTTAACCTCCGTACTTGGAGCCGAATACACTAGTGTGTGCCTGGTAAATGAGTGTCTAATAAATGTACATGTCAAGGATATAAGAACTGTTTTACAACCTTTCAGATACATTCTTTTTAGCCCGTTTAAAATACTATCCATTTGTAGCTGTGTATTTGCCCCTTCATATGCAATGTTCCGTGCTATGAAAGTCTATGAAATCTTCTATCTCTCTGTTACATGTCTATTCAATTACCTCTTAATTTATTAATGAATCAGCTACTGGGAAGGACATGAGATATCACACCTCTATTGTTTTCCCTAACATGGATGAGATCATCAGTCTTCTTTACCTTGCTTTGCCTTTACAGTCTTCTTAACGAACGGGAAATTAGCTAATATCAAATTGCCTACTTTATTGTATGCTCAATGACCTATTGATATTGTTCTATGACAAGTGGCCATGCTGTTTTTGTGTTCTATTTGATGATTCTTCTACCTTACATTCTGTCCAATAAGTGTATTATTTTACTGATTAGATATAAGCCTATACAAGCCAGTTGTGCTCTTAGTTATTAACATAATCCTATTCTGAAACTTGATCAAATTGTGTTTTTGTGAGCGATAGTCATTCGGTCGTCTCACATCGATGCAATTAGTTGATCAAAGACCATATAAACACATTTTCTGGTTCATGATAACGGTTATCATGAACGGGCAGGCTTTCGTGTCAGGGGATTTGCATTGTATTGTGCTGTTAAATATTATCAAATAACTTTTGAGCAGTTATATTCCTGTATCATGGACCAGTTGTTATGTTAGATTCAGTGATACTTCTGTGCAACTCCAAATTTCGTATATATGTTTATTGATAGGATTCAAACCTTTTGTTGAGACAATTTCAAATTAAAGATATCAAATAACCGATATTTTGATGGTGTTGTGCTCTCATGGCTAGTTAGTTTAATTGAGGAGCGTTCACTATCGTTCTGGGTGGCACATAATCAATGTCAGCTTAAAACAGAAGTCAGGTTTTCAGTTATTTCACGAGCGTTTTATCGGTCAGTTATGATGGCCTTTATAAAATGCTTGTGAAACGTCTGCAAAGCTCACTTCTATATTAAGCTTTCGTTAATGTGCTCTCTGGGACAATAATGAAAGCTACGAAATTTAAATATCTAATTCAAAGTACACAACACCATTGAAATGCTGTTTATTGTAGATGATCAACAAAATTGTCCCATACAAATGTCCTGTAATTCCAATACTGTCTAACATATCTTAAACAGAATATTACAACGGGGTAGTTCCAAATTAAAACACGAAGTAAAAAGACCTCAATGAAAAGACCGAACGTCAACTAACTGCAGTATTAAAATTTCTAAATCAACACCAACACATCTCTGAGCATACCTATAATATGCTTAAGCCTTCTGGAACACATACCCCTCGACTATATGGTCTACTTAAGATCCATAAACCTGATATTCCTCTACGCCCGATACTGGATATGGCAAATTCACCATACCATTCAACAGCAAAATGGTTAGTTAAGTTATTAGAACCATTGCACCAAGAACTTGCTAAGCATAATGTTAAAGACGTCTTTGAATTTGTTGATACAATTAAAAATATGAATATAAATGAGAAAACCATGCTATCACTAGACATAACATCTTTGTTCACTAACATCCCTCTGACTGAAACTATAGATTACATATGTGAACAACTGATAGAAAAGAAAATAGAGATTCCTATCCCAATAAATAAAATGAAAGAACTTCTCTTGAAATGCACTATGAATATCCACTTTAAGTTTAACAATGAATTTTTCCGACAAGTAGATGGGGTAGCAATGGGATCACCTCTAGGCCCGATCCTTGCTAATATTTTTCTGACCAAACTAGAAAATGGACCGCTTAAAGACATCCTAAATAAGCTTGATTATTACTGTCGATACATAGATGACACATTAATCATATGTGACGAAAATATCGACAAACAGGAGATGTTAGACGCTTTCAATAATGTCCACCCAGCCATTAAATTCACCAGCGAGGAGGAAAAGGACAATAGCATAGCTTTTCTAGATGTCCGACTCTCTAGAAGGATAGATGGTTCCATAAAGCGAAATATGTTTAGAAAGTGTACATGGACGGGTCAGTATACCCATTTCCAAAGCTTCACACCTCTGCAATATAAAATAAATTTGGTTAAGTGTCTCAACCACAGAATCAAGGTATTATGTTCTGAAGACAGTGTGGAGGAAGAAATAGTTATACTAAAGAACACATTACGTAATAATGGCTATCCTGATAATTTCGTCAAAAAATACCTCGTACAAAGTATTAAAAAGAGAAGACATTGCGACACGGTCAGTAAAAAGACCTTATATCTGAAACTTGACTTTAAAGGCGACATAGCGGGTGATATTCTAACACGTCGACTCAAAAGATCTGTCGAGAGGACGTTTCATGCCGCCAAGTTACACATAACTTTCTCGACTAAACCAGTACTCACACAACTAATCAAGGATAAGTTACCGAAGATGGGCTCCTCCATGTGTGTATACCAATTCAACTGCTCCTGTGGAGCTAGTTACATAGGCCGTACTCAGAGGGCTTTATCCTTGCGTGTTCGTGAACATGTACCAGCATGGTTGGGAAAAGGAGTCACCAAATCGATTAACAGCACCATTCTTTCTCACTTGGTAGATAGTGAACATCATATTAAAATAGAGGAAGCTTTCTCTGTTTTATATCAAGTTCCAAAATATCTACCTCAAGGAGCTAGATTACGACTGCTTTACACAGCCGAAGCCATCTGGATCAACTCCAGAAGACCTAATTTATGCATCCAGAAAAAATATATCCAGCCTCTATGTTTACCCTGGCCTACGACTGGATCACCAAATACCTAGACTGAATATTATAAACCTCTTACCCCTTCTTTCATTTTATTTATTTTCCTTATTATCATTATTTGTCATTATCTATATCTTAATCTTCATATCCATCATTCCCAATTTGTTGACCGTAATTACCTTGATAACACCCCCCTTATTACATATTATATTCACACAACAATATTATTATTATCTCAGTTGACAAAAATATTTTTTTTGCATTTTCAACTTTGCAATAGTACTATTATCTTATTGTGACTGAACAATTTACTGACCTTTATTGAATGACCTTTCTAATTTGCAAATATTACAATTTTTTGAAGATATATATATATATCATAACAGATGCAAACGTTCACCATTTTTAACACATAACATTGTCAAACTCATTAATACATGCCTTATTATTTTTGGCCTTTGTAAAATATTATAATTATGGACTTATAACTGTAGAGCCTGATGATGAAGTTATTGAAAACAATTGTTCGCTCAAATATTCTTCGTTTTTGAATATTCTATGGGGATTTTTAAACTGCCCAAATAAATATGTAATGTAAATAACAGAATATGTTGTGGTAAGATTTATTTTTACTCATTTATTGAATTAAATACATAAACGTTGGTTCAAGAAAGCACCAAATATTTATGCGTCACGCTTTGTCATTCGATTTATGTAAGGGCTGGGATACTGTCCGGGTGGCCAAACCGAAGCAGGTGGGTTCTCTTGGGCAGCCATTCCCCAAGCCTTCAATCCAGAGGTCTTATCCACAAGCCAATGGAGCAACGTCAGGAGATGCATTCTCATAGTAGCAAGTGATCGATAATAGGTCCATACGATATTTGTTCGTTCAGGATCCAGGAGCCCATTTGCACCGTTGGTTTTGAATCAGGATTTCTCAACTCCTCTAGATGGATCCTTAATATCCACCAACCAGATCGAAGCTACGAACATTCACTTTTCGTCCTCTCAATTTCGTAAACAACATCCTTGTTGTGATAAGGCAGTGAGTGGGACTTCCCTGATAATGGCTGTATACGTATGACCATATGAGAGCATTTCGAGTGGGAGAGCTGACTCTCCCGACCTTCGACAGTACCAGGGCGTTTGTGAACCAGAAACGCGAGTTTGCACAAAATTTACATATGAATCTTCTAGTATCTTCCGAATCAGTATAGTTCAATTTAATCTTGACTTGATAATACAATATTCGATAGCTCTATCGTACTAGCAAGTTATCACTAGCTTGTATTGTATTTACGTTTTTATATTTATTTTAGAATCGAGACAATAGCTCTTGGTAATGGTCAGGGTAGTCGGCAAACTGGTTCTTGGTTGGCACATTTAATAGAAATTCAACATTTCAAACCTTTAAATGTTCGTTATGCTGTTGTAAGTGAGTGTGGTGCTTCATATTACAGTGCGTCAAATCTAGCTTGTACAGAATTACCAGATTTAAATGTTAGTTTCCGTGGTGCAGTGTCTATAGCTAGACGTTTACAAGATCCTTTAGCTGAACTAGTTAAAGTTGAACCGAAACATTTAGGTGTTGGTATGTATCAGCACGATATACCAGTTAATCAATTAACATCTGCTGTTCATAATGTCATGGAAGAATGTATAAGTTTTGTTGGTGTTGATTTGAATGCAGCTCCATTGCATATTTTATCACGTGTTGCTGGTTTATCTGAGATGAAAGCCAAAGCAATTTTAACATATCGTTCACAAATTGGTCCCTTCCGCTCAAGAGCTGATCTTCTTAAGGTAAGTATTATGTGTACCTAAAACCTAAATGAATATTGTTAATTTTGTGAGAGGAATCTAATGGAGAAAGTTGTTCAACACACCCAATGAAGTCTGTAAAAGATAATAACATGTCGGAAGAGAAGTAACTGTTGCCGATGGAATTTGATGATCACACAATATATCTTAAATTGATCGAGATTGAAATTGTATGAAAAGAAACCTATCGAGTGGTCCTAATGAATAACAGTTCACTTCGAAACCTAAGAGTTTTAGATGCAATCCATGATGCTGTCATGGTTGCTCGTTGCCAAGGGTTTCCATATGAAAAATCTGTCCCAGTGTTTCCTGGTTTTCATTGGTGCTCCAACTAATATTAATCTGTAACGAACACAACATATAAAATAATAAATGGGTGTAAACTGGTGCTGAATTGTTAGTTACCCTATGTTACACTTGAATTAATTGAAAAGAATATTTAACCAATGGATAATATTAACGTAGTAAGTTGGGTAATATAGTTACAAGATGTCGAGTTTTCATGAGTTTCTTGTCCATTTAATAAATGCTAAAATGAAGTTCTTAATTCAAATGAACTATTATTAATCCATGACTATGAGTAGTGATATGTGAGTGATAAGTCTACTAACTGAGCGTTTGAATTGGTTTCTTAGGCTCTTCTAATAACCCAAGCTAAATGTACACGGTGGCTTGAACACGAGAGAAAAGGCTTCAAGTGTCGAAAAACCGCTTTACTTCAACGTTAGTTTATATACAGAAAATCGAGGTTATTTATATTATTTCAGATTGTCTTGGACATCTTAAGTTTCTAGAAACGTACTAATTATAGTAGCAGGAAAGATAGTTATCCAATGAGAAATGTGATATGTGTTTCTTCACTTCCTAGATGTTTCTGAGAAACTCCCATTCAACACTGGTTGGATAAAATGTTTACCAACGTTATCAAGGCCTCTGTGTACTTGTTCGGTGAATACTTTGGATTTCCCTAACAGTTAGACAGGCTGCTGTCAGCTTGATTTCAATAATTTGTCAGTTTCTAGAATGTGTGAAATTTCCTGTGTTGCCTAAACAAATTATTAAGGATGTGTCCTGGCCAATAAATATGCAAATTGAGGGTGTAGAAGTTATTTTTCCAAAATTTAGTACACAATAATTCTATCGCTCTCAAGATATTCTTCATTTTGTAGTGTTATACTCGTTCCGTCTTCGTTTCTATCATTTGAAATATTCCTGAGAATTTTGAGGAATGAAAGCCTTTGTTGCACTTACGTTCTACTTTACCTCACTAAATCCCAGGTTCAAACTACATTCCACCTACTTCGATTTGATCAGTATCATTATACTTCACACTCGTATTTGAGTACCTGGAGCTGAATTTTTTTCATTTTATAATTGCGAAACCATGGTCCGCCACCAGTAATGACCTGTTCAAGGAAAACTGAAATTTACGCTTAAAGTTGCCTCAGTGTGTCCAACGTTCGATTCTTCTCCAGGTGCCAGGATGTTTTGACCAAATCCCACAGATTTGGTGTTTTCTAGTCCATTGTCTACGGAAATTCATAACATACCATATATTATAGTCTTTTGATTATGTATAAGTAGCTTACAGTTTTCCGTAACTAATGACCGTAACAGACCAGTTTGTTAGTTTATTGAAGAGGGTGGGAGAGGGTATGTATATATCGCTCGAAAAGTCAAATATTAAACCTCATGTCTATTTATGAACGATCAAATTGATTAAGGTGATCACATGTGAAAGTAGACGTTAGATATGTCAATAATCCATTGACGATGAAACAAGGCTGTTGATGTTGAATATTAGCACATGACAAACGGGATTCACCATCTTGTCATTTCATCTTATGTTTCAATGGTTTGCACTCTTGAATTTTAGTCATATAGTTAGAAAATTTGACGATGTAACTGAACCTACTCAGTTGTGAAGTGTCACACAGTATCTTGATCGCTAACTTATAAGGTATTGATGTATGTTGCATGTATGTATGTGTGTTGTCGAGATTTATGAACCCCAAATTTCACATGGCGAATTTCCGTGAGTTAAACAACTAGTGAAAAGCCATAAAGACTAGTGGAAAACTATTTAATCCTGGTTTTCCAGTGGCTGTCTTAACTTTAGTCGGTCCACCATGTAAATTTTCAAATCTATGGTGTATTAGTCTAATATGTGAATCGGTTCATTTTGTAAAGTAAAATATTCAATGTTAATGTTTATTACTGGTCTTAGTTTCATGGTTTCATGCTTCAGTTCTCTTCTCATTTATTAAGGCATATTGTATCATATAGCCATTGTGGTTTTCTATAAACGTATCATGTGAATGAACTTCATTTTCAGTGTATATGTATGATTAACGAGACGAAATACTTGTGAAATCCTAGACATCCTTGATGTTCATCAGCAGTATCTTTAAATAAGAATGATAAATTCTATTTCAAGATATTATATGGTATTTTTATTTTGTGTTACGTTGATGGTGTTTTATTCGGTGTATTATGTTTGTAAATTTTACACTGGCATTGTTTATTAGTCACATTATTGCATAGAAAGACGTTTTTTAGTGATGGATTACTTGTTTCATATTCTGTGGTTGATGATTGCCTTTCATATTATGTCTTCTTAATGAAGATGTGGTCGTGAAACAGGATGCTGTGTAGTCTTTAAGTCTAGGGAATGATAATCATTGGTCAGCGACTTCCGTGCAATGATAGGAAGTTTTATTTATTTATTTATTTGAACACATAAATATCGGTACAAAAGGGTATCAAATATATATGCGCCACACAAAACAATGAGAATTTAAAGAGAAGGAAAAAAAGGTAAGGAGTGTGAAAAAAAGAGAACAACAACGACCAGATTAGTGTAAGGTAGTGTAATAGTAATAATAATGGGAGAAACGAAAAGGTACAATCAGAAGAAATCTTTCAGTTAAGGAAAAAGCAACCACTTTTTACGAAGAAAGTAAAAGAAGGTTACAGCAGGATCACCACTGGCTTCTATTCTGAGCCATATCTGATAGCGTCTCTAGCCACTGTGTAGCACCATCTTTCGGACCCCAGCCAGGCAGTCGTGAAGGACCAACACAAGTCAGCCCTTTACAGCTTTCTTTCATACCGCGACACCATGTCATGCACTGACCACCTCTCCGCTTCTTCCAACCAGTCCCAGAGTCGGCAAATAATGCACGACGTGGAAGTCGGTGTTTCAAGATGGTGACACCAATTGCATTATCGTCTCTGTGCCCGAACACACGATGCCTAACCTCTGCATTACTAACATGGTGTTGCCAAAGATGGCCCAGATTGGCATAAGCCGCTCTGGCTTTCACTATACGTGCATAGACCTCATCACTCACGCCACCGCCAGCACTTATGCACCTACCCAGATACACGAACTTCTCGACTACATCTATCTGCTTACCATCCAGAGTGAGTACAGGATTAGAATCCTGCCAGTCTTGTAGAAGTACTTTGCACTTCGAAGGTGTAAAGCACATACCATACCTACGGACATTGCCAACTGATTAAGTGCGGATTGCATGCCTTGGGCATTATCGCACAGTAAGACAATATCATCCGCATACTCAAGGTCGAGAAGTCTTTCTCCAGGCAACAGATCTACACCGCCACTATTTAAATCCATCAAAGCTGTTTCCAGAACGTCATCGATGGCAAAGTTAGAAGTTTAAACGAAGACAAATTATTCCAGCCGTCATTCTTTGTATTCAAGGTGAATTGTAAGTAATTAATTAGGGTAATTTATGGATAGCGTTTTATTTTAGGTTAAAGGTATTGGACAAGCTACGTTCGCTCAATGTGCTGGATTTGTACGTGTCAAACCCACATATTCTACAACTACTTTAGATGGGACTAAGTAAGTTTTTACATCTTTCTGTCAGTTATATAATAAAATCTTAATTGAGATCATTGGGTAACAGTGTGTAGACTTCATGTCATATTGTGGTGTGAGCCACTTATATCTCATAAGTAGAATATAACGATGGTCAGGAATAGAATGTATTTCAGTAGGAGATCGACTAGGAAAGAACGGGATCGGAAAGCAGTTGGTATGAAATTGCATGAACAATGAAATGTGAGACGATGGAGTGATATTTGCAAAAGAAACAGTCGAGTTTGAGACAATTGTTTGATATTTTGCAAATTAAGTATTTACTGTATGGTTCTTAGATTTTACTAAGATGTTCTGTAATTTCGTGACCAGAAGCAATCGATTTCCCCCACTCGTGTTCTTGTTCACTACAGTATGAATGTCCTTCGAGTGAAGATTCATCTTTATATAAGGCTTGCATACTGATGGATTCACCTTTACCCTGAAGATCGAATCTAGTCAGTTATCAGTGATAACCAGCGTGGAGCCTGGCACAAGTGCACGTTAGCTCAGATTGTCGTACTACTTTGACATGACTAGGTGAATTTTGGAAGATAAATTCTAATATTGTGAGTATGGTTTGAGAAGATCGAATGAAAAGATATGTTTGAAGGTAAAAAACTGGACTTGCTGCATTTCGTCTGATTCTGAGCCATGTCACTCAACCTACTTTTATCTAATGATGGCAGTTATAGCCCAAGCCTAAGGGAAGTAATCTACATCTACCAATATGGCTCAGATCAGCAGTCGATGACTTCATGGACGAATGCTACATATTTTGGTTTAGCTGATCAAAGCCTTCTTCCAACGTGTTCTTACATCATAAAAACTGTTACTGCTTCCACTGTTTTGCATTCATCTCGATAACTTCATCTTGTTTTAATGATGCGGTTTGGGAATTTGAACTACCGATTAACATTTGTGCCAGGTTTTACGTTGCTTATGGCCGATTGGCTAATAAACCTATTCAATTTCATTGTCATTACCTACTTTTCACTTGTACGTAATTGATACCCTCTTATCTTTACAAGTTGCCTTGACATTGTCACTAAAGATTGTATTTCCTATTGAATTTGTAATTTCTCACGATCGATTGTTTAAAAACTTGATAAATTACGTAACTACTATAGGCATTTAATATTCGGATGGATTGCGAGCCGTTTGGATCAGTCGTTATTCAGATCGTGCAATCTGTGACTTACCTAACAGGAAACATTAAAGTTAAAATAAAGAAGAGTAGTGTGTTATATCGTCTTAGTGTAAGATTTTCCATCTATATGTATGCAGATATCTCCACCTTGAATCATTTTCGAGGATCTTCAAGTTACCTTTTGACGAATTATTCCGGAATCCCATGGACGAAAACCTCCAAAGTAAACTATTCTCCACAAAATTTATGCCCGCTAGTAACTAATTTTGAGATTTAATTCTCAAAATCGTAGTGAAAATCCGTGAACAGCATAGTTCAACCATGTTTAGTTCAAATCCGTTGCTCACTAATGACATTGGCAGATGGTCGATTTAGTTTAAGCACTCGCCACAGGAGATCTATGTATCTTGTGTTTAATATCTGATGGGGTTGTGAATACATACTGCTGAGGAGTCCCATATGAAGACGAAATGGTTGTGAAATGCTTTTATGTTTCAAATGTTTTTCGTACTAAATATAAGAAAAGTGACATTCTTGTCTTATCCATTACATTGCCATGACGGCTTGTTATATATGTGTGTATGCATTCTATTCCATGTGTTTGTGCTGAAAACAATTGGCACTTTGATTTTCTGTTTATTTCCTTTATTTTTCAACACTCATTAACAATTCAGGGATGTTGAAATGATTTCCATTTCGAGTGGTGATGATGATGGTGATGATTTAACTTGTGATACTAAAATAACCAATATTTCCACTGGTAGCACTAAACGTAAACATATATCCAATGAATTTAACAAGAAACGTAAAAACCTCGAATTATGGAGGTAACAGTTACTGATCAATCCGATGTGAATTGTTTTAATCCATTAGATCAGACTGCTGTTCATCCTGATTCTTATGAAGTTGCAGCAAGGTGAGTTTGTTGTATTCTCTGAGAAAGTATTGTAATTGTTTATAGTATAGACCTATCGGATGGTCTCGAGTACTGTTATGGATATGTGAGTAATTGTCACTTTTCAGCTGTTCACACCACGTGAAGGGATATTTCTTCTTAACGAAGGTACCTGTAACGTAAACTGAATTAGTCGTTGTTGTGGCTAACTGGAAACGTGAACTCAGAGTTCAAGTGCCAGCTGATCAAGGTCGATCACACACAGCCTTTTTTTGCATAGTTGTAGATATTACAGTCAGCACCCTCAAAGGCGTTACCTATGGAGATGGGAGTCTGGTGGCGTGCTAGATAATGAGTGCTAATTTTAGGAGCCATGTATTCTGACTGTTTCCTCCCATCGTAGGAAGGCAGTGTCGCTGTAGACTAGTTCTGTTGGGGATATATTGTACTCCTATCTCATATCCGTAAAGTCAGTAGCCTGACTTTGCTTTCAGACATAAGTTTGTACTTAGTGAATTGGTTGTTTAGCGTGGTGTCGTGTCACAGTTGACTATGAACACCACTACAAAGGAGCACGTGCCAAATAAATCAGAATGCGAACGGGGTCACTTATCGCGAAACAGTAATGTTGAATAATTGAAGAGCAATATGGCTGTCTTTAGCACAGGTAAGCAAACGAGCACAGTAAAACAATCATTGATACAATCGGTTATAATAATAATTGTTTTCACTAAACTACTTGCGTCCTCTTGATAAAAGTAGGTCACTACAGTTGTATGCCCGGCGTTTTAATCTGGTTGGTGGATATGGAGGGTCCACCTATTGGAGTTGGAAAAGGCCTGATTCCAAATCAATAGTGCACATGAGCTCCGGGTTCCTGATGACACAAATGACATATGAACCCGTTGTCGGTCATCGTCTGCCATGAGAATGCATCTCCTGACGTTGCTCCATCGCCTTGTGGATGAGACCTCTGGATTAAAGGCATGAGTATTGGTTGCGTAAGAGAACCCACCTGCTTCGGTTTGGCCACCCGGACAGTATCCCAGCCCTGACACAAATCAATGACAACTGCTACTGACCTCGTCGTTATTGTGTTGCGCATATGTATATATGTAACTGCTACCGGTGTGCTTATTGTTATATCCGAGCGAAGATCGTATCACGAGTAGCTTCTGAGACATTTGACTAATATTATCTATATATTCTTATGGTATAATTATTCAATAATTAGATTATGTACATTTATATTACGCTTATTATAAGCTTCATTTTGACATAATTTATTATTGTACGATTTACTGTTCGTAAGCTATGTTCAGTTTATTGACTACTGTGTCCCACGCTCACAGCCACATTTGGCCAAATATTGTACAAATGTTATTTTCTATTTAATGGTACGTTGCAGTCTGTCTGGTTGATATATAAACCGAGTATGTTTGAAATAAATGATTCGATTCGATTCGCATATTGGAAGCTGGTATTGGTGTTATGGACTGAAGCGGACGGGCTAGTAGGACATAGGACCAATAAGAACACTAGGCTGCTCATACCGATCGAACGTCATTGGTTTGGCATAGTGCGAAGATTTGTATAAGTCGTATTTTGATTAGTGGATAAGTCACTGTTATGACCTTGGGTGTCTGGTTTTTCTATCACACGACTTATCTACCAATCCGAATACGACTTATACGAATCTTCACACTAGGCCAACCAATGACGTTCAACCGGTGTGGGCAGTTTAGCGTCCTTATTGGTCCTATGTCCTACGAGCCCTTCCACTTGAGTCCAGAACAAGATACCAGCTTCCGAATCAGAGCAGATCGTTTATTTCAGGCATACTTGGTTTATATATCAATCATACAGACCGCAACGTACCATAAAATAGGAAATAATATTTGTACACAAATAAGCCCAAAAAGTGGCTGTGAATGTGGGAGGCAGTAATTAATAAACTGAACATAACTTAAGAACCGTAAATCGTACAATAATAAATTATAGGTCAAAATAAAGCTTATCATAAAAGGAATATAAATATCCATAGTGTAATTGTTGAGTAGTTATACAATAAGAATATTTATAGAATATTAGTCCATGAATAGTCCTTGGAATTTACCTGTAGTTTAATCTTCACCGGATATAACACCTCCCCTTTTTTGAAGCATTAGAGATAATAATGATCCTTAGGATTTATTTTTATTCGATTGGGTTTTCGTCTGATGCGCTGCGACCTCCTTGGGAGTGTTTCACACGTCTCGTTATTATTCGGATCATTTTTAATTTCATTATTCGACTCAGTTAATATATCTATTGGTATATTCGACTTTGTAGCATTTCTGTCTCTCGTTCTTGTCTGGTTGGCTGTATCTGGTTTGCATGTCTCACCCATATCTTTTTTCCAACTTTTACTTCGTAGATAACTTTCCCTTTTTTTCGTATTATTATGCCAAACTTCCAAGTTGGCTTTACTCCCGTGAAATCTCTTGTTATTACCGCTTGTCCCACCTTAAACCTTCTGGGCAATGCACCGTGCCGCTTGTTGAATTGCTGTTCCATTCGTTTGTTCTTTCGGAGGTTGGCTCTAAGCTTTGGTTTCATTTGCTCCATAGGTATTCTAATCTTTCTCCCAAAAATTGCTTCTGCTGGGCTTTCTTGATTATTTGTTGTTGGGTTTGGTGTTGCTCGGTATGTCTGTAGAAATCTTTGAATCATCTCGTCTATTTCACCTTCTCCCTCGGCTTTAAGTAGTGCTCTTTTAAATGTATCTACGAACCTCTCAACTAGACCGTTTGACTGTGGATGATATGGGGGTGTCTTTATATGCCTAACAGCGTTGGCGACGCAGAAGTTCGAGAATTCAGCGGAGGTGAATTGTGGCCCATTATCAGATACTAATACATCTGGACACCCAAAGCAGCTAAATACTTGTCTCAGTTTTTCAATAGTAGCTTTTGTAGAAAGAGACTTTACGTAGTGGATTTCTGGCCATTTTGAGAAAGCATCAACCATCACTAAGTACTGTTTTCCGTTTATGGGACCGGCGAAATCTACGTGTACTCTTGACCATGGATTTGTTGGTGTCCCCCAACTCTGCATTTCTGTCTTACGAGGGGCTTTGATAGCTTTTGCACACGCAGAACATGTCTCAACATATTCTTTGATCTGAGCGTCAATATTCGGCCAATATACATATCCACGTGCAAGTGCCTTCATCCTTGCTACCCCTGGGTGTGCGGCATGCAGTTGTGACATCACCTTACGGCGTAAATTTATGGGTACGATTACTCGATTCCCAAACATCAAGCATCCATCCACAAGTGATAGGGAATTCCGACGGTGGGAATACTGTTCAATATTTTTGTCGTCTATATGGGCAGGCCAACCATGTTCGAGGTATCTAATAATCTGCTTCAATTCATCATCTTCTTGAGTATAACGTTTAATGTCTTCACAGGATAACGGTGTTGCTTTTATGGCAACTTGTAGTATATGGTGAACATCATTCTCCAACGATATCGTTGCAATAATAGAATCTTCACTTTTCTGCTTCTGATTAGCAATTAATCTAGATAAAGCATCAGCTTGTCCAAACTTTTCAGTTGATTTATATAGGATTTGGAAATCATAAGCAAGCAACGTAATAGCCCAGCGTTGTAACCGATTCGCTGTATAAGCAGGAATACCTGACTTTGATCCAAATATAGATAAAAGCGGCTTGTGGTCTGTTAAAAGCGTAAATCGACGACCATAAATCATTTTATGAAATTTCTTTACTGCAAAAACTAAAGCTAATCCTTCCTTCTCAATCTGACTATATTTTCGTTCGGCTGAGTTAAGAGTTCGGGATGCATGAGCAATTGGCTTTTCTTTACCATCAGGAAAACGATGACTGATAACGGCTCCAATTCCATAGTTTGAAGCATCGGCGGCTACAATTATTTCAAGCTTTGGATTATAATGAGTCAGCAACAGTTTAGAAGATAAAATCCTTTTTATTTCATCGAAAGAATCTTGGCATTCTTTTGTCCAGTGCCATGTTGTATTAGCCATCAAGAGCTGATTTAATGGTTGTCGCAATTTATACATCTGGGGTACGAACATACTATAATAACCAATCATCCCCAAGAATGAACGAAGGGTTGTAACCTCAGTCGGTCTGGGCATATTTTTGATAGCATTTATATTGTCTGGATCCGGTCGACGACCATCTTTATCAAATATATATCCCAGGTATTTAACAGACTCGAGCAGAAATTCACACTTTTCTTTTTGTAACTGAAACCCAGCTTGTGATATTTTAGTGAGCACCACATCTAACCGACGCATTAATTCCTGCGCGGAAGAGCCAACAACTATAATATCATCCAAATAAACTGCTACACCTTCGATGTTAGACACCATAGTATCCATTATCTGCTGGAAAATTGCTGGAGCTGGCTTAACACCAAACGGTAATCGGTTAAATCGATAAAGTCCACGGTGGGTATTAATGGTTAATAACTCCTTTGAATCTTCGTCAACTTCCACCTGTAAGTAAGCTTCAGACAAATCAAGTTTAGAAAAATAACGTCCACCGTTTAGTTTAATAAATAAATCCTCTGGCAAAGGTAATGGATATGAATGATTTTGTAAAACGTCATTTAATCCTGTTGAAAAGTCTGCACAAAGGCGAATAGCTCCGCTCGCTTTCTGAACTACTACAATTGGTGCTGCCCATGCCGAATAATTAACAGGTTGTATAACACCGAGTTTCTCTAGTCGGTCTAATTCTTTGTCGACTTTGTCAATAGCTGCATATGGAACTTGACGCTTTGGACGGAAAACAGGTTTTACATCCTGTCGTAGGTATAATTTTGCCTTCTCAATTGTGCAGCATCCCAATTTATTCTGGAACAAGTTTTTATGTTTCTGCAAAAGATCTTCTATCGTTACGACTTTCTTGGTTACATGAACTGCGGGTGGATCTCTAGGATTATTTGCGCCTTTCATTGTGCATATTTCATTTAATGGTACATCCCATAAATTTAGTTTATCTATCCAGTCTATACCAATAAGGTCTAACTCATGTCTGTTCGTTAAGTAGCAATTTCCTGTAAAGTAATTACCTCGGAATTTAACAGAGCATTTTATCATTCCCACAAGTTTCAATATATCTCCGGACGCATTCCGTGCAGTGTGCTCTGTTGGTAATACTTTCGGACACCCAATTAAATACCACGTTCGTTTCGAGATTAGTGTGATATCTGACGCTGTGTCCAATTGCAATCGAATATAAACACCATTAACAATTAATTCCACATATCTTCTTTTATTCGCTACGCTTAGAGCCAGTGTAGAATATACGCTGTTTATATACTTATTTTCGTACTGGTGCGGACGTCTGGTTCGTTTTGATCTTAAACTTTCTCTAGTTCGGCAGACTAATTCTTTGTGGCCAACTTTATTGCATATAGTGCATCTATGATTTCTAAACCGGCAAAATCTTGAGAAATGCCACGCACCACAATACCAACATTTAGTTGCAGGTTTAGGAGCTTTCGAGTGATATTTATGACTTTTGGTACTATTTTGTCTTTGACCTGTCTTAACAGCATGAACAGAATTTGAGGGCACAACACTTTTGGTTTCCAGCATAGCTGTATCTTGTTTTAGGTTTATTAATCGTTGACATTCAGTGGTGATAGTTTGTAACGTCATTTCATCATCATGTTCCATACGGGATAACAACTTCATGCGAAAGTCAGCATCAACAGGAGAGTTCAGACCAGAAATGAATAATAAGCATTTAAATTGATCACTGGTTAATACATTTAATTTAAATCGTTCTGCTTGTAAATTTACTCTTCCGGCGTACGTAGTATAATCTTCATCAGCCTCTTTAGTCAGCTGTAGACAGTTATACCGGATACGGAATAAAGACGACTGTTCACAAAACATTTTATTTAGGATGTTAACAGTTTCATCGAAATTAACTTCTCGTGGATGTTTAGGCAGAATATGGTTTTTATACTTTTGATGCTCATTAGGACCAAGTTTCTGTAATAGCAGCCGGACTTTCTTTGCATCATCCATAGTAGCAAATTCTACTCGAAAAATATCTTCAACTCTGCCGAACCATGCTTCAAAAGTGTGACCGCTGTCTGCATCAAATATAAATTCTGGAATTGGATTGAGATATGATTCTATACTTCTATAATCTGGATTACCTTGTTGAATAGATAGTTTACCCAAAAGTGCCTCCAATAGTTGTTGTTGCGAAGCTAACATTTGATGCTGCTGCTGTAATAATAACTGCAATTGTTCTGAAGAATCTGACATTTTTTTTTTTTACTGCTAATAATAATATTAATCCAAAAATCACCGGCAATTATTACAGCTAATTTATTTCCAAAATCTGAGTCACCACTTGTATTATTATTATTTCTTTGTTGCCAAAATCCCCGTCGCCAATTGTTATGACCTTGACCCCGTCGCCAATTGTTATGACCTTGGGTGTCTGGTTTTTCTATCACACGACTTATCTACCAATCCGAATACGACTTATACGAATCTTCACACTAGGCCAACCAATGACGTTCAACCGGTGTGGGCAGTTTAGTGTCCTTATTGGTCCTATGTCCTACGAGCCCTTCCACTTGAGTCCAGAACAAGATACCAGCTTCCGAATCAGAGCAGATCGTTTATTTCAGGCATACTTGGTTTATATATCAATCATGCAGACCGCAACGTACCATAAAATAGGAAATAATATTTGTACACAAATAAGCCCAAAAAGTGGCTGTGAATGTGGGAGGCAGTAATTAATAAACTGAACATAACTTAAGAACCGTAAATCGTACAATAATAAATTATAGGTCAAAATAAAGCTTATCATAAAAGGAATATAAATATCCATAGTGTAATTGTTGAGTAGTTATACAATAAGAATATTTATAGAATATTAGTCCATGAATAGTCCTTGGAATTTACCTGTAGTTTAATCTTCACCGGATATAACAGTCACGTGATAAAAAGCCGGACATAAAATCATAACAATTATGTATGTTTACGAATAAATATACTAATTGTGATCGCACTTAACTTTCAGTACCATTATGTCATCTATTTACGAGTTATTCGTGTGGATGTTAAATCTTCACTTCGTAGTGGAATCCATGTCCGCCTAGTTCAGTTTGGGCAACCGAATTTATTTTTATAGAGTGTGTTCACTTGATTACTGAGATACGTCAATGTTTGATGTACTGAATTGAATATTACTTAGTAATGTGTATCATGTAGACAAAATAATTCAGTTTCATTTTGTCATAATTTACTAATGTTTTTCTTGTATTGTAATCTTCTACATTTCAGTATTATTTCATTGCTCCAATTAAATCTGACAGATGTAGGGTCGGTGAAAATGAGAGCAGCTGCGACACAGTTTATGATCAGCGAAGATAGTGAGTGCTTTTATGCTTTCTATATGTTTTGCTTGTGTGGAAAAAGCATGTTGTGGTGTTGTTTTGACGAGTTATTTGCATTCATCTAGTTAAATCAATCATTAATTGGAAGGATATTTTCATGTACAAGAAGTTTCTTGGTGTACTGATAATTTGAATGTTTAAAAATATTTCATTTTTCTCTGTTTGTTCGTTTAGGAGATAAACGACTTGAACAGTTTTGTTCCAAAACTGTTGGACTTGATACTTTACGTGATATTATCGTAGCACTAACTCGTCCTTTGGATTTCGATGAGCGTCAAGGTATGATTATTGCCATGTATTTGTTTAATAAGACTTACTTTGTTGTCACTGTTGTTCGAATTGAATTTTAAGTGGTTAGTCGGTTTAGAAGCGTGATCTATCTATCTATCATAGGTGAAGATGTTGGGTAATTGTATACTGACAACGCTCTCCTGAAAATACCCATTAGCATATGACGCCCATATAGATGTGATTCTACGAATTTGGCCATTTAGAAATTTAAGATTGCTCTTATGTTTTGCTTGTAATAAATACCTATTAACCTTCCTGGTCTAGTTCACTGTCACATTCATCGTTAACAAAATGAGTTTCTTTAGATGAATATAACCTGGTTTTGTTGGTTTCTTACATGAACTGTGTGTCGTTTGTCACTAATCCTTATTTCGTACCATTCCCTCGCCTCTATTTTCCCTCACATTATTGTCATTTTGCTTTTGTATAATGTATATTTCTTTCAGCCCTTCTGGATTATGTTTAAATCCCGACTACTAAGAACTGTACATGAGGGGAGTGAGTGTTAAGGCCTTAATCGCATAAACCTTTTTATCAGTAGTCGTCGTAGTCGCGGTAGTGGAGTGCCTTTCTGCTAAAATGTATTTGTGATTTATTTAGTAATATTTGTCCGTTTATTGTAACATTTTATGAAACAACGTGGTTTTATTCTACTTTAGACTGTTTTACTCCATTGTTTCATTCAACCGTGATGAAAATATCAGATTTACGTAAAGGTATGCAAGTGAAAGGTCGTGTAGAGAATGTCACTACTTTTGGTGCCTTTTGTGATATTGGTGTTGAAGAAAACGCGTATATTCCAAGACATGCATATCCTCGAAATTGTCCAACTTCCAACCTAAAAATTACCAATGATACTTCTGTTGGAATTGGCGTCAGTGACGGCGGTGATATTCATCACAAAATGTTCACTTTACGTTTGGGTGATCGAATCAAAGCTATTGTTTCGAGTGTTGATATTAAGTATAAACGAGTTGCATTGGATAAAGTTTCTGTAATGACGTAAACATGATTGTTGTTTTAAACGCTGAGAGAGGAGATTCAAGCAAACGATTTTTGTATAGCATTTCCACATTTATTTTTTTAATTAACAATTTATTTACATGAGGTTTTGTTATTGAATGGTTTCTTCCCGTTGTGTAATTTACTTTTCTACATATTTTGTTTACAGTTTATACGATTTATAAACAACCGACTCCAACTTTACCTTTTTCTTACAATCGAGTTATCACTGAGTAGTAAGCAATGTTATGTTTGTTTAGTCCTGTAGTTAGCTTTGATTAGATTCTGTCGCTCAATTTGCAACGTGGCCTCCAGTCTACATGTGATTCACTATCGTGTGCACTATGTTGAGATGCCAGATGGTGGTTGCTAGCAGTCGACAGAAAACTTGATCTAGGTTTCGTCCTATGCGGCATCCACCACCAAGATGTACCTGTCATCTTGAGGTAACTGATGCTCTGTAGTGAGAATCATCCCGTCCCACTCAGCTTCCGAATCATAGACGTTATAAGTCAGATTTTCGGGTTGCGATCGACTTCCTATAGGACTGAGATATACTTATAATTGATTGTTCACTTATTAGTGACCAACGTCACAGTTTTCTAGTTTTATATATATCGCTGACCGAATTTTATTGGTGTAGTTGCAGGTACACTCTGCTGACGAGTTCCAACTACTGTGAAACTCAGATTCATGATTTCTTGTCAACCACCTCCAACCATCTAACATAGTTTTACCCTATTTGTTATGATGTTCTTAGTACTTGAATTGAAGTATGTGGTATTGGTGGTGATAGTTGGTTAATTCGATTGATGTAGACTATAACATGATGGGTAATTAAAAGCAAACTATAGAATAGTAATTAGTTATCGGTTGTGAATTGTTCTTTGTGGTTGTCAGATTTCGTTCAGTAAATTCTACAATATCTTAATTTAACTGAGTGAATCAAGATTGAAAACTGTTATATCTAGTAGTGAAATTTGTTTTAAGGAATATCTGTTTAATCATTGGTGTGGTTATGTTGGTGTTGATTTTCTGTCTCATCGAAACCTCTTGGATATATGTAGATACATATTTTCGAATGCGGTGCTTATCTGGAAGTTCTCAAATATTTATTGGAAATCTGCAGTATGTTCTAATGACAGGAGTAAATCGAAAGAGATGGCCGAATGACATGATTTCGATTGGAAGAAACTGAATTAAAGAGTGAATGAATACAGCGTTGAAGCTCTTTTCCTAGGTGTAAATGAGTCACAGTAGTAAATTTTGTTATTGTGTTAGCATAACTTTTATGAAAGCCACATATTGGAACGACGATCATCAGTGTAGATGCCATAAACGATGTTTTAATATCAAAGCGAATATCGTAGGCAATTTATCGTAACTATTTTTATTCGTTTAGCAAGTCTTTATCTTCCTGTTATACCCTATGAATGAATAGAGTTGATCGTTATACAAACTGTGCCATACAAGTTATATGGTATTTGCTAGTCTCTTTTCGAGCGAGTAAATCACTACGTTACACAGCGTAGATTTGTACTACATCGAATTACGATTGAGTATTTCGAAAATGTGAAGAGAATAACAAGAGATCCTTAATTGAAATGTTTATTTTAATTAAGTTTCCATTGTTAGTTGTCCACATTCATTTATCTACAATGAAAAGGAAAAATATAGAAATTATTCAGTATTTTGTTGTTGTTGTTGTTGTGACAGTGTCTATGTGATTAAAGCGTTCAATTGTTAGCTGCTTTATTACGCTTAATTCACTTTCGTCAATTAGATATGTGCAATACAGCCCTTATACACTTGGGCAATGATTCGAAGTGACGTACACTGATCTGTACTTGGTAACTGATTGAATAAATTTGTTCCCAATTTTTATTTGTAAGTAGTACATTCTGTAAGACTAGTTGAAATAGCTATTCAGTCTATATATTATCACGAATAAAACAGTAAATAAATGTCTGACGTGTTACTTTCATCTGAATGAGTGTTGAATAAACGGCGCGGAGTTGCCAACGAAATTTACGGTTTCATACAGTAGTACGTTGTGTTGTTTGAATTAATCACATGAAAATTAGTAGTCTGTACCATTCGGTGAATGACATACAACGTCTAGTGAAATCTTCACTTGTGAAAATTAGATTTACATTATAGACAAGCTAGTTCATATTGTTGATGAGATTCAAATGAGTTTTTCTGTTCTACACTGTCTTCACATTCAGTTACTATGAATAGATACATTTGGAGATGAATAGCACTGGTGTATTTAACCTATATGACATATTTTCAATGTTGTTGTGTTAATGTGTAAAGTGTTCAATGTGTTCCAATTGTAAGGCGGCCTGCTTGAGCATCTGGGCTACCTGTTCCTGCCATCTAGATATTTCAACAAGTTATCTATCTTTGTTTGTTTTAATATATCATTATGTCTATTAATCGCACAACCTATACTGCTGCGTTTCTGAAAAATGTACAACCTTTCGTTATTAAAGTTACAAAAAGCTCAAAAAGAGAGAATATGGTTGCTGGCAATGTACAACGAAAAGAATGTACATCATTCCCATGTTCATTTACTGGACTGATAACATCTAGCTGGCGACCACTCAGTATTTATCGCGAGGACCGACCAAGAAGAAAGAAACGGAAACTTGTTGAAATACTTTGTGCTGAGAATTCTATATTGTACCAATAATATAATATTGAATAAAGCTAATAATAATAATAATAATAATAAGTTTGTCTAGTCTGCTTTAAAGTGTAATGCGTTTTTATTAAGGTAGTCATCTTAAACTGGCATCAATGAGATTATACCAAATAATGACTGTTTTTAATTTGATTGGGGATCTATAGTCAAATATGCAATTAGTAATACAAGATTAAATTACGTCTTGTAACTTTGAGTAAAATAGAACGTACTGAGAAGTAATTCGATTTCTCATCGATGAATACTGACCTACAATAAGAACATAGTTGATATGGTTTTTGAAATGAACACACATGGGATATTCTGAAGAATTTTAGATTTAAATAATGTTAATTATGGTGTATATCAGGTAGCGTTTACGTTGTTCAGTTAACAAACACCTACTGGAGTCAACTGAGAAGGATCTCGAAACACTCTCTAAACTAGGGTTTCAAACTTACGCCTTTTTTCTGCCAACCATTCCCGGAGTTCTTGTACTATATATAGGATGAAAAAACCGAATAAATTGTAGAGTTTATAATTTTGATAAACTACGTCTTCTCATTGCACTATCGAAATTATATATTTATTGTGTAATTACTAATAACTGAATGGAAAGTAAGTGAACACATCCGTTAGATAGATTTCAACAGATTTTTGGGGTGGTTAATAAAAGAATCTTTGTAAAATTTACTTGTAGAACTTATATTCATTCGATTTCTAGTGACTAAAATACAAAATGAAAGTTAGTCATTGATTAGCATGAATTCTGTCTTGTGTCAATGTAATAAAACAATAGTACCTGTTTGGTTTGGGATGTTCATGTACTAGTAATTGTTTTTTGGAATTGAAATGAATAACGAAAATGAACCACTGTGTTATTGAAGAAGAAGAAGAAGCAGAAGAAGAGGGAAGACAATTGAGTGAAGAAAATGTCCTTTTCGATAATTTAATTTTCCTGCTCTTGTGGAGTAGATTATATTGGCCGCACAGAACGAGCTCATTCGAAACGTATCTGCCAACATCACTTTACACGACTTCCAAAATATTATAGAAGTCAATCAAAACCTAAATTTTCGAGCATCTAATCAATTCCGGTCATTCATTAGTTAGTGATGCGCACTGCTGAGGAATCCCGTACTTGAACGAGAGCGCCGTCCACTGATTCCACGTTTTCCGTGGTGGTCCAGCTTCAATCAACTCATGAATTCAACTATTAAATTAATACATTCTCTACAATATCCCCTTACTGATAAATTTTAATAAATAGAAAGCTAATAAACAATATTTCCGTATCACTTCACATAAAAAGAAAACAAGTTTCATACTTACTCGTCATGTTGATATGAGGTGTGGTGGATACATCTAAACAAGTTGAGGATAATAATACATGTCTTACATATATATCAGATAAATTTATATTTTCAAATATTACAATATGGTCGAATACTCGATGCTTATTTCGTAACATGATTGTAGTGCAAAACTCACCATCCCATATGACAGTTACAATTGTGAGTAACAAAATGAATTTTAGCATGTTCACTGTTGACAGATAAATTCATGAAAACAACTCGTGTTTATATAGTATTTTTGATTGTGGGAGGCTGGACGACGGACAAGTGTCGTGAAGATGTTTCAACGAATCACTACTAACAGAATATGTTTGTATCTGTCTATTTATTAGAGTGACTGACGTAAACATTATCATGATTATGCTTACTAAAAGAACTTCCCTTCATACTGCTGCGCAGTGCTTTTGCGTTATCACAAACATATATGTATAACGAATGCGTTACGTTACACCTAATTAATGAAGGAATTTACCTTAGTTCTGATAACCATTTGGTTGTGATTGAATATCCAATTTGAATTTTTGTCAGTAATCCGTGAACGGATATTTGTAGCCAACTGGTTTTCTCATATAATAAAAATAATCAAGGTATGCTAGGCATTTTCTAGATGTTGTTGTTAACAGATGAGTGATTTCACAATATTTCACTCACGTTGTGTTTTGTAATAAAATATGAAGGTGATTATTTTATGACCTACATACAGTAGCCAGATTTGTTTTGATTTATTATGATTAAAATTAGTATGAAATACTAGAAGTTATGTACAAGATTTTGCTGTTGAATAATGTAAGTTCTCAATAAGCTGGTACATTTTGTCAACAGTGCAACGCAGTTGCAGTTATTTTTCTGCTGTGCTAACACAAGATCGGTCTATCTGAGTACATTTAAACTTAGTGAATCTAATTTGAATTAGTATATTGGTTGTTTGTCATTGTTATCGCTTCAACACAGCTATCTCAA